ATTTTTATACCCAAGTAGGTGCTTTCCCCTGTGGATAGTCGTCGTGAATTTTGCTGAAAATAATTTGGTCCCAGTCAAGGTGCAGATGAGCGTGTTTTCTTCTATTTACTTAGGACCGAACCACTCTGCTAGTTACGTAGCCTTTTTCCCCGAGTAAAGAAAAGAAAGAATATTTTTCACTGAGCTTTTTGAGCAAGTCATATTGAGTAGCTTTTGAAAAGATTATGAAACACAATAGGTAGTTCTAATTTATAAAATTTTAACTGATGAAATCATTCGAAATATACTCTTGTGTTTCTATTTAGTTATATGTATAAAATTAATTAGGGATCTATTAATTATCAGTGTTTTTGGCAGGTGTGGTTTAGCCTAGGCACAGACCACCGACTTTTAGTAGGCCGATAGTTGGGCTCAATTTTAATTTGTATGACGAATCGGTTGATACCAAACGGGTGTAATGTGCGCACTTCTATACATGCCCATACTGATTAACTGCCCGACTAAATTACCGGGCGACAAAAAATCGGTGGTCTGCGTCTAGGCTTAAAGTAGACGTAAGAAGAAGAAAAACTATTTTCGAAATTCAACATTTAGAGGGATGAGAAAGGGGTCGAAAGATTGTGTGGTAGTCAATCATTTCTTAAAAGGATAGAAAGCTTATCTTGTAACTATTAAAGACATAAAGCTTTCTGTGATTCAACAAAATACACAAGCGGACAAAGTTGACGATTTTTTTTAAGATGTTAGAGGTTAGATAACATTTCTCAATTTTCATATTGAAATTGAAATAAATAAAAATACACATTATTTAAAAAGGATAAATTAATTTGTCTTCAATTTCAAAGAAAAACACGTGAGGACAAAATTACTGTAAAATTAAAATTCTTGGAACACCTTTTACATGAATACATATTGGTATAGGCCATTGAACTGTTTTGAAATTAAATATTGACACTCATTTCGGGTCTCTTTAGGGAACATTTTCAGGCAGAATTCACAAGTTTAGCGTTTAACTCAGTCAGTCTGAAGTATGGGAGCGGCATGGGGTGACATGGACATATTATGACGTGACAAAGCATCCAAATCTGTACCTTCATCTTTCATTTCATTTCATTGTTTAATTTTTCATACAAAATTTTTCGATGACACTTTGAATACGCAACGAAACGAACTCGAAAGTTTTTCCTACTAGAGGTACGGTACGGCTAGCACGAACAACTTTCGAGTTCGATACGTTTGCGTATTCGAATCGCCATCAAAAGATTTAGTAGGTGCGAAAACTACAACAGCGCCCTTGTGAACGTGTCGTAAAGTGAACGTTGCACGAAGCTTACTTTAAGAATCAAAATCGTCACGTTAACGTTTAGTTCGAAGGTTGAGTATCGAATTTTGTCGAATACGCAAACGATTCGAAGACGAAAGTTGTTCATGCTACAGGTACTGAAGTCTGACGTTTGACGTTACAAAAACACTCTCCGGTGCCGCGTACCTAAGTATTTTTTGTATATTTATCTTTAATTACTTACCATTAAGTATTTGAGATTCATCAATATGAAATCAATCATCAATATAAAAGCGAAAGGTCACTGACTGACTCACTTACTCAACTACAAGTGCTAGGAGTCTCAAATTTACTAATACGGGATTTTCCAAAATTCTACCCCTAAGGGGGTAAAATTTTGGCCGCTAGTGTTTGTATAAAGTAAAGGGCACTTTGGCAAATAAGTACCTACTTAATTATTAAGTGCAGGCCATTTACAAGGTTTTATTTTTCATGGAATTTTGAGGCAAATGTCTGTAAAAGGGTGCTTCAATTTGAGCCTTGTTAATTATTAAAATGAGTCATTTTCTTAACACAACTCGACAAGCTAAATAATAATATCTTCTCGTCCAATTGTAATACTTAGGCCACAGAATACATAAGGCTGAGTTGCACCACCTAACTTTAACGTAACTTTAACGACAACCGGTGATTTTTGTATGGGATTTGATAGATTTTTGACGTTTGTTATAAGTAGTTGAAGTAAGATGGTGCAACCCAGCCTTACAGGATTTTGCAAGTAGGTATAGTCAGCGTCAAATAGTTCGTAATTACAATTGGAATAAGGTTGTGCTGCCAACTTTTTGGTCACTTTGGGTGTCACGAACTAAGTATTTGATGCTGACTATACTAATTACTGGACGATTTATAACGTAAAAAATATTTTCTGAATCAACACAGCATACTAATATTATTTTACCGTTGCATTTATATTTTTAAAATGTCGGCAACAAGTTCGGTAACGAGGGAGTTGCAGTTAAAATATCAAAAGCGTTTTTAATTTATTTTAAATGTTATAAAAATAAAGCGAAGTCAGCGTTGGAAAATGTCCAGACAAGCAATTTCCTTCGTATATACCGTTATAAAGTTTTTATTTTATATAGCTAGTATAGTTGTTGGAAGCTTTGAAATATTTTAAAACGATAACTTATTTGAAACACTCTGTAAAATGAGATTCTGGTTAATATTCTGTTTAAGTCGACTGAAAATTTTATTTTTTTCACTCTATTCTTTATAAAATAACTATGATATAGAGATCATGTTCCATTTTACACTAAATAGGAAAAATACTAGTTTTCTTTTTTACTTGTAAGTATTAACCACAGTTACTATGCTGTGCCTATATGCATATATTTATTCTGAAAAATAATTTGTTGTAGATACGAGTATTTCAGCACCTAAAGGATTGAAGTTTTCCTAACTGGTAACGAATTTTATTAACAAGATAGAGGCAAATAGTTAGTGATAAATTACTTATTATAATATTAATAAATATTAATAAATAAATAAAGTCATTGGGGGAGGCCTATATTCAGCAGTGGACGTCTTATGGCTAAAATGATGATGATGAATAAAAATCGTGAAAATCTGTCTGAAAAAGTATCACTATGTTGAATTATGTTCTGATACTTGAATTCCCAATTACCAAATAGCCAACGACGCAAAACTGCGTAGGTATCTACGTTGTTTATATTCGAAGCCTTATGTTTAAGGTTTGAAGCTACGCAGTAGTTAATTGTTTAATTATTTGTCAACAACTCACTCATATAATGTAACGTAGTAGCCCCTTTTGGAGACCTTGTAATTTGTTATATACTGCGTAATTATAACTTCAAACTATTTATATATTGATAAACAAACATATTCGGCTGTCATAGTAACCCAGAATCAAAGGCTAAGATTATAGGCAAATTATTACTTGTGGGCGGAAGACTTAGCCTAGCAACTCGGTATAAATTGAAATAATTGAACTTCAACATAACAATATGGTGAGGCTAGTGTTGCGCTTCTTGGAGCTTTAACTTCTCTAGTTAACGTCATGCTGGCTGGTCAGGTTCCACATACTATTACTGAAATTATGTATGGAGCAAATCTTTGCGCCCTAAAAAAAAAAGACGGTGGCATAAGGCCAATTGCAGTGGGCACGACCTATCGTCGGCTCACTGCCAAAATCTGCTGCAAAGCAGTTTCGGGTACCCTCAGCAATCTCTTCCAGCCTACACAACTCGGCTTTGGAGTTGCTGGGGGTTGCGAAGCAGCAATACATGCCGTCCGCTCCTTTTTAAATTTTCGGCCAACAGATATCATATTAAAAGTTGACGTAAAAAACGCCTTCAATTCGGTCGATAGGGGCGTTTTGTTGACCCAAATCCAAAAGGAGGTGCCTTCTCTGTACAGTTTTTTGTGGCAGTGCTATAGTGCTCCGACAAAACTCATGTACAGAGAAAACCTACTTTCGTCCTCTGTTGGGTGTCAACAAGGCGACCCCCTCGGCCCCGCCATTTTCAGCCTGGCCATTCAGCCCATCATAAATAAATTACAGTCTTCACTTAACGTTTGGTACCTAGACGATGGAACCCTTGGTGGTGACCCCAATACAGTTTTAAAAGACCTATCTGATTTAATTGAAAATTTTAAAATGTGTGGTTTGGATCTAAATTTTGCAAAATGTGAACTTTTTATTCCCCAAAATTGTGATAAGCGTGATGAAATTATTCAAAATTTTAATCTTTTGGCACCCAATATCAAAATTGTTAACCAATCTTCACTCCGCCTTCTCGGCTCCCCTGTAACCATTGAATCTTTTTCGGATTTTATTGATGAACAAATTTCAAAATTTACCACTGTTTCTAATAAATTATTCCAAATTAACAGCCATATTGCATACACCATCATCCGGTTCTGTCTCTTCGTACCAAAATTTACATATTATTTGCGCTCATCACCGTTCTGGAATCATCCTGTTTTGACATCAAAATTAGACGCTATAATCCGCCACACCCTTTCTCAAATTTTAAATATTAAGCTGGAAGACAGAGCCTGGACTCAGGCTTCCTTGCCTATTCGGCATGGAGGCCTGGGAATAAGACAAATTTCTAATGTAGCGCTTCCAGCTTATTTATCATCGTGCCATAAAACTTTTGACCTAATCAGCAAAATTCTCAGTAAATCACATATGCATAATGCTGTACATCTTCCATTTTTGACAGAGGCCATTAATACTTGGAGGACATTATCATCATCTGATCCTCCCCAAAACCCTTCAGCCCAACGGTTGTGGGACGAGCCTGTCTGCAGAGTAGTGCGGGATAATTTACTTCAAACGTCTACCAACTCTGCAGACCGCGCTCGTCTCCTAGCCGTGGCTGAATGGGAATCAGGCCTTTGGCTGAAATCCCTACCCTCTCCTGCCCTTGGCACTCTGATAGACAACATTTCGTTCAGAGTGGCCATTAGTCTCCGCTTGGGGGCTCCTTGCTCTGTTCCTCATCGCTGCTCTTGTGGGAAGGATGTTGATCAACTTGCTCACCACGGTCTTTCCTGTAACAGAAGTGCTGGCCGAATCCCTCGTCACGCTGGTTTGAACGACGTCATTCGCCGGGCGCTTGTCAGCGCTCGTATTCCGGCCATCCTTGAACCGAGCGGCCTGTCTCGAAGCGATGGGAAGCGTCCGGATGGAATGACGCTTGTTCCCTGGGAGATGGGGAGGCCTTTAGTGTGGGACGCCACTTGCGTTGACACTTTAGCGCCCTCCCATCTTCCTACTACCGGCGTCAAGGTGGGTTCGGCTGCTGCTTCTGCAGAGGACCTCAAGCGGCGCAAATATGTAAATCTCAATGAGACTTACATATTTGAGCCGTTTGGAGTTGAAACTCTGGGCCCGTGGGGACCAAGCGCCCACAAACTGTTTCGTAAGATATCTCAGCGCTTAGTTGAGACATCTTACGATACAAAGGCTGGCCTTTACCTTGGCCAACGCATCAGCCTTGCCATCCAGCGTGGCAATGTGGCCAGCCTTTTGGGCACCTTCCCCCAAGGTAGCGATTTAGATGAATTTTTTTATTTATAAAGCTTGTATATACATAATTTTAATTTTTACCCTTTTTTTTATTTAGTTATAGTTTAGTTTAGTAGTTATTTGTTACCATTTTGTTGTATATATGTATGTATAGATTATTGTTAGACTTAAATAAAAGTTGTTCATCGTCTATTAGAGTGATTTTGGGTAGACGTCTAAAAATACCTACATCTAGGTTGAACATAGCTAAAAAACAATAACCTTGTGCGACTTCTTTTGCACACGAACTTGTAAATAAATACCCTTAGTAATAAAGGTATATCGTATTCGGGAAGTCTATGGTCATAATTCTGGAACTTCGGACTTTATCAACCTTCTCTGATGGTCGATAAAGATAGAAGGTCGATAAAGTTAATTCGATTGTCGAAGAAAAGTATCCTGCTTTTTTTTTGGATAATCAGGTTTTAAAGGACTGGAATATAAGTTCGCAATTCACATTACGGATTTCCTTAGGAATCTAACTTTAAGACTTGAGTTGCCAGTCCAATTTAAGAATTACCTACGACTCAGATTACAGAGACATTGATTATGGAGTAACTTCAACTGTGAAAAGTGAGGAAATCTAAGCATAAATTAGTAACACACAATGTAAAACAAAAATAACTGCATTTATTTTTACTCGTAGGTATAGTATGCAAAAATTAAATTAGTACCCTTGACCTACATTCTGGAAATTCGAACAGAGTTAAGTTACTGCTTCATTTCCACTGTGGTCATATCATATTCGCCCAGCACAACTGGATCGATGGTTATTGGAAGAGGGCCAAATTAAAAAAGTTTCCCTCAGCTGCCCTCATAATAAGGCAGGTATTTGATCAGTATATTAGTTGCGTACTCCCTGGCCCTCTGATGTCTCTATCAGCCTCTTTGGTTCCTCCTTAGTCATCTTCATTAGGGATTGGGGACAGGAATTTTGTTGTGAAATATAACAATTTGAGGTTATGGCAGCAGGTTTCAATCTCATTGGAGGTGTGATCACGAGATTTTATACTTTTAGACTCTACTAGCGGCCGCCCGCGACTTCGTACGCGTGGCTCCCGTTTTCCCTCTTAGGGGTGGAGTTTCGTAAAAACCTTTCTTAGCGGATGCCTACGTCATAACATCAACCTGCATGCCATATTTCAGCCCGATCCGCCAAGTGGTTTGGGCTGTGCGTTGATAGATCACTATGTCAGTCAGTCAGTCAGTCAGTCACCTTTGAGTTATATGTAATTAGAAGTTAGTGTTATAGTTACTAGAGTGCATGTGTGTTTATGTGATACTTATAAATATTTACTAGTGACCCGCTCTGACTTCGCAAAGGTGTTAAACTACAAACCTTCATCTTGAACCACTCTATCTATTAAAAAAATCCACATCCAAATCCGTTGCGTTTAAAAGACTTGTTATAGGGACAGACAGCGGAAAGCGACTTTGTTTTATATAATGTAGTGATGAAGTAGGTACGTTTATTTGTGAGTCATAAAATACCATAGAACAAGCTGTACTTTATGGAGACTAAGTAAAAACACTAAGCTTAAGTTTATGGATAGGCATGGCATGGGACTCAAAAGTATCCCGTACGTCAAAGGCATTTTAATCACAAATCTTCAGTTGGTCTGTTTTACTTCGCAATAACAAATAAATTGTCTACTTTTACTACTATTAAAGCTCGTAGAAGCTCACTACGAAGCACAGATATAACATATCTTCAAATTGACCTGGATTCTAGACCGCATGCATTCTTTATCAGATCGTCCGTCCATCAGGCCAAGTTGCAAGGCCAAGGCCGTGCCAAGCTGCCAGTGCACTTGAGAATCTGTCTTCCATATCAGTTGTTTTAGTTTTAGCTATCTAGAATCTGTGTAGTCGTTAGGTTTTGCAAGTAGGTAAGGACGGTTTTTGTTCTCGTAAATGTTAGAGTTTTTGTTCTTTAGATTTGCTTTTTATTTATTGGGTTAAAAGTCAAGGCTTTAGGTACTTATTAGATGTGGTCAGGTCCGGTTAATTTAGTGTGTATTTGTAATTTATTCTTGTAGAAATTATTTAAATATTTGTACGCTGACTAATTATACAGCAAATTTTGGCGATCTACTTATACTAGTTTTAAGACCACTATGTTTACCCAAAATTGTGCAAATAAATATTTGAATTTGAATTTGAATTTGAATTTAGAATCTAATGTCTTTTTTTAAACGGACTCAGGTCAAGTTGTAGCATAGTAATGAGCAGTGCCTGGCAAACATACTTGACGATGGCTTATTGTTGCAAGCATAAATGTCTAGAAATGCTTGCAACGTCATTATTACCAATATCTACTTCGTAAGAAGATGTAATTATAAACATAAATATATTAGTTAGTATTATTTTTTAAATATAGGAAATTAATTGGGTCGTCATCACTTAAACGTTAGGTATCTATACTAATATTATAAAGCTGAAGAGTTTGTTTGTTTGTTTACATGAATGCGCTAATCTCCGGAACTACTGGTCCGATTTGAAAAATTATTTCAGTGTTAGATAGCCCATTTATCGAGGAAGGCTATAGGCTATACAACATCACGCTACAATCAATAGGAGCAGAGCAATAATGAAAAATGTTGCGAAAACGGGTTTTCACGCGTACGAAGTCGCGGGCACAGCTAGTGAGGCATAAAAATACTTTCAATGACAGATCTAAAATTACACGAAGGACTACCCACGGTGGTAGAAAGTAAACAGTTGCTTAAATAATAAACAATAATAATATAGTCTCTAGCACGATATACGAGTAATAGTAAAAGGAATCCCTCCAAATCTCTAGCATTATCGCGCCAACCTTAATAAAGAATCCACTACTTCAAGTCCAATTGGGCAGCAAGGGCGAAACGCTTATAAGGAAAACGGGGGAATCCCTTTAGTACCGAACAGCACATCATAACATACAATTTCGTCGCAAAATAGCACGTATCACAACTGAATAAGATACAGAAGTGTAAAGCTTGATATGACGGCTGTACCTAAATCCGGACTCGACAACTTTTTACGGACCCTCTCTATTTCTACCCTATAAAATGGTATTGGATTTTTATATTCTTTGAAAGAGATATAGATAAAGTTTGAAGAAATTGTTACCTAGTTCGGAGGTCAAAGTTTGATTGTGTATTTAGCTCAGTTTTGGCGTTATATTTTATCTTTATGAAGTCCGTCAGGTCTAAAAACCTAAAAAAATATATTAGTTTCATACGTACTTTTTTCTGTTGATATTTTTTAAAGGAAAATTTAGTTTTGTTGTAATATTCAAATTTCGCGCCTTCTGCTAAAATGACAGGAGCTGTCTCATATGTCAAGTTTATTTTTTTTTGTTTTTCACTCTACTCTGTGAACATTACTAGCAGACACGATTGTAAAGAAACTAAATAAAGTATTTGCTATTTTTCAAGTTAAAACTACTTGTTTTCATTAAAAATCAACAGGTTATGGGCCCAGAGTGTCCGATTAGTTAAAATCAGTGAACAAACGTTATTAAACTCAGTGTTCTACAAGTATTCAAAAACACATAACCTCAACCGAAACGTGCTCAGCCTTATGAAGAAAATTTCAAGTTGTTTTCCGATAAACAACTAACATGTCATCGTCAAATAACTCACTGGCATTAATAGAAAAACTAACAGGCCGTGAAAATTACGCAACTTGGCGATTCGCAGTCAAAACCTACTTGGAGCACGAAGAACTATGGGACTGCATTGAACCCACTAATCCAAGCACGGATATTGACAAGAGACGTGACACCAAGGCCAGATCGAAGATAATTCTTCTAGTGGATCCTGTGAATTACATTCATATTCAAGAATCAAGGACTGCTAAAGAGGTTTGGGATAACTTATCCCGTGCTTTTGATGACTCAGGACTAACACGCCGGGTTGGTCTACTGCGAGACCTATGCAATACTACGCTAGCAGGATGTTCAAATGTGGAGGAATATGTTAGTAAGATCATGACAACAGCACATAAATTGAGAAACATTGGCTTTCACGTAGACGATGAATGGCTCGGTACACTTCTATTGTCCGGCCTTCCAGAGAGTTACAAGCCAATGATTATAGCGATTGAAAGCTCAGGAATGAAGATTAGCTCTGATTCAGTTAAATCTAAAATTCTACAAGATGTTAAACAAACTGACAGTGATTCTACTGCTTTCGCTTCAAGCCAGAAGTTTCATAATAAAAACAAAAGCTTTTCAAAAGGCCCCCGCTGTTATTCATGCAACAAATATGGTCATAAAAGTCCAGAGTGTAAATCAAAACCTAATAAGTATCAGAAGAATAAGGAAAATAAACAGAATCAATCATCTTATGCAGCTGTATTTATTGCTTCTTCTGAATACTCCGATGACTGGTATGTTGATTCCGGTGCCTCAGCACATATGACCAAAAACAGGAATTTGTTTATAGAAGAAACAATCCCAGAAATAAAGACTATTAAAGTTGCAAATAACAAATCATTACCTGTTCAAAGCTCTGGAAAAATAAGCTTAAGTGTTCATAATGAAAGAGGCCAACAAAATGAGATATTGTTTACAAATGTGCTGNGTCCTGGTGACGTCACTTAAGCATTTTTCTTATACTGCGTGCGGTCGTTGCGCGTGCGCACAAAGGAATGAGACCGCTCGGACACCGAGCCCACAGCGTGGTAGGGGTGGGGTTGCCCACTCTTTTGTTTTTTACTACTACTACGCTGAATATTGTGTGCGGATTGGCTTGTCGTACAGGGGTACTACACGGTAAAATAAATCTCGGAGGCGAAAACAGGATAATGGTGGTCAAGTGAAGTTTAATAAGAATGGCTGTATTATACTAAACAAAAACAGTTTTATAGTAGCAACAGCAAGCTTGATAAATAATATGTACCGCTTGAACATGCCCACAGTCCAAGCTTGCATATCGGATGTTATCGAGCAAGATTATTTTCTGTGGCACCAAAGAATGGCTCATCTGAATTTTCAAAGCTTGAGCAAATTGTCTGAAAACACTGCTGACTTAAAGCTTCGTGTACAAGCAGGAAATGTGAAGTGTATAACGTGTCAGGAAGGAAAACAAACACGTCTGCCATTCAAAAGTCAAGGATCTCAGAGTAAAGACCTGCTTGAATTAATACACTCAGACATCTGCGGTCCAATGGACACTCAGTCATTCGGAAAAGCTAGATACTTCGTGACTTTTCTCGATGATTACTCGAAGAAGATATTTANGATATTTGTATATGTAATGCATAACAAATCAGAAGTCCTAGAAAAATTTATTGAATTTAAAAAGTTGGTTGAGAATCAGTTAAACCGCACAGTTAAAATTCTCAGATCCGACAATGGACTAGAATATGTAAACAGAAATTTTTCAAACTTTCTCAAAAATGCTGGAATAATACATCAGACAACCACACCTTACACACCAGAACAAAATGGCACAGCAGAACGAATGAATAGAACTTTGATAGAAAAAGCAAAATGTATGATGTTGAATGCCAATCTACCTAAAGCCTACTGGGCTGAAGCAATTCACACAGCTGCTTATATTATAAACCGCTCTCCAACTAAATCTCTGTGCAACAAAACACCAGAAGAGATGTGGACTGGACGAAAACCCAATGTCAGCCATATGAGAACATTTGGATGTGAGGCGATGGTTCATTTACCGAAAGAGAAAAGAAAGAAATTGGATTCAAAATCACAAAAAATGATTTTTATTGGATACTGTGAAAACACAAAAGGGTATCGATTTTTGTTACCTAACTCAAGAAAAGCAATAAAAAGTAGAGATGCAGTATTTCTAGAGTCAACTGTTAAGAGAGATTTTGTGCCCATTGAGTTAACTTCAAATGAATGCAGTATTCAGAACAAAGATTGTGAAGAAATTTCAAGTGATGACTCATTTGATACTGTTACAGAAAGTAAGTCACAGTCAGACAGTGAGTACATCCCCGATGAAAGCATAGAATCTTCACCAGAAAGAAATGTTACAGTCAGAACACGAAGACAGTATTTAAATTCACAGAAACAAGAAGAAAGTTCTTACCTGTGTTTTGATGAACAATTGTTAGATCATGAAGTTCCCGATAACTATGAAAAAGCAATGAAGTCTGTTGATGCTACAAAATGGATAAAATCAATAAAAGAAGAACTCGAAGCTCATCGACAAAATGGAACATGGACATTGGTTGACAAAACTCCTGATATGCGAGTAATCGGATGTAGATGGGTATTTAGAATTAAAGAAGAATCTTCTGGACCACGCTACAAGTCCCGGCTTTGTGCGAAGGGGTACTCGCAAACCAAAGGTATCGACTATCAAGAAACATTTGCACCCACTGTCAGGTATGATTCAATCCGCCTTTTACTCTCAGAAGCTGCCCAACATAACCTTCAAATAATACAATTAGACGTCAAAACGGCTTTTCTGTACGGTGAGCTCGAAGAGGACATATATATGACTGTACCTGAAGGCTTAACCTGCAAGACTAACAAGGTATGTAAGCTCAATAAATCATTATATGGCCTAAAACAATCTCCCAGATGCTGGAATTCTAAATTCGATTCAGTGTTAAAGAAATTTGGGCTAGTTAATAGTAAAGCTGACCAGTGTGTTTATGTGGGCACCATTAATGGAGCAAAATGTTATCTGTGTTTATATGTCGATGACGGGCTGATATTCTCTAAAGACAAGTCAACCTTAAATGAGTTAATTAATGATTTACAGTCAATATTTGAAATAAAAACATTTCCACTCAGGAATTTTGTTGGTATGGAAATAATGAAATTTGACAATTATATCTTCATACATCAATCAAGCTATATTGAAAAACTATTGAATAAATTCAGTTTGAATAATTCTAAACCTAACAGTATTCCAGTTGATCCACACACAATATTGGAAAAAGGAGAAGGTGAAACAGAAAAGAACATTCCATATCGGGAAGCTGTTGGATCATTGATGCACCTTGCCACAGTAAGCCGACCTGACATTTCTTTCGCTGTAAGCTTGGTGAGTCGATTTTTGAATTCTTATGATGAAACTCATTGGAATGCAGTGAAGAAAATTTTCAAGTATCTAAAGGAAACTAAAGAGTATGGTCTGTACTATACACCATCCTCTGAGCCTAATGCTGTAATAGGGTATAGTGATGCAGATTACGCTAATGACCCTATCACAAGACGTTCAGTAACTGGATATGTTTTCATTAAAAATGGAGGAGCAGTAACATGGGCTTGCCAGAGACAACAGACAGTGGCTCTATCAACCACTGAGGCAGAATTTATGGCAGCCTGTGCTGCAACCAAAGAGGTCTTGTGGATTAAACAGTTGTTATGTGATATTGGTGAATTTAACCAAAAGTCTGTGTGCTTAAATTTAGACAATCAAAGTGCTATCAGTGTAATCAAAAACAATAATTTTCACAAAAGATGCAAACATATAGACATTAAGTTCCATTTCATTAAAGAAAAGTACTATGATAAAATTATAGGGTTAAATTATGTATGTAGTGATGAACAATATGCTGATATTTTTACTAAACCTCTGTGCAAAGTAAAGTTTTGTTATTTAAGAGACAAAATTGGAATTAAATCTAACAATGTAATTATTAGCGGTTAGTTAGCTATTGTTTCAGTCACATATTTCGTTTTGCCTATGTAATAAGACTAAAGTTTTTTTTAAGGCTTAAATTTAGGAGGAGTGTTGTAATATTCAAATTTCGCGCCTTCTGCTAAAATGACAGGAGCTGTCTCATATGTCAAGTTTATTTTTTTTTGTTTTTCACTCTACTCTGTGAACATTACTAGCAGACACGATTGTAAAGAAACTAAATAAAGTATTTGCTATTTTTCAAGTTAAAACTACTTGTTTTCATTAAAAATCAACAAGTTTCCTCTTTGTTCTTTTTGAATCCGGTAACTGTTTTTAGGAGCTTTTTGCCACACAATTATCAAAATGTATGTATAACCTATAGCCTATTATTTACAATAATATTATAATAAACTAATTTCAACTAAACACCTACTGAGCTGAACAGGGGGGAGGCCTATGTCTAGCAGTGGACGTCATGTGGCTGTAATGACGATGATGATGAACTAATTTCAACTTTCATTTCCCACTTTACGTTCACTATCCTTTGATCGAAAGCCAATAACAAATTAAAACTTTTCAATTTCAAAAATATACCTCCTCAAAAATCAAATCACCAATGCTATTAAAACAAACTTAGATTTAAGCTACCTGAGTAAGTTTGGACACCTTAATGACTATTTAATTTATTTGATTTCTACGATTTGTAGAAGGCAAATTACAAAATAATTTGTCACGAAAACAACGCATTTTAAAAGGTTTTTGACGAAGGAATCAATTTTTGGTATTGTTATCACTGATAACTTATCAGATATACCAGCCGGTGATAGTTCAATACAAAAAGTTATAAAGTTCTGAAAGTGAGGTTCCATTTAATTGATGAAAGTAAATGAAAATGCGTTTATTTTTGTTGACTTGTTTACGTTATTTCATTAGCATTTAGTTTTAAAAAGTCAAATACCTTTGATGTATTATGAAATAACAAAGTTACTCGTATAATTAAGTAAAGTGACGTGGAAAATTCTACAGAATATTATGTCAATAACTTTATAATAATTAATGATTAAANCCCAAGGTAGCGATTTAGATGAAATTTTTTATTTATAAAGCTTGTATATACATAATTTTAAATTTTACCCTTTTTTTTATTTAGTTATAGTTTAGTTTGGTAGTTATTTGTTACCATTTTGTTGTATATATGTATGTATAGATTATTGTTTTTCAAGAATAAATGTTTATTTCGTAATAACTTGTCAAATGAATTATGATTTACGTGGCGGTGAAAATCATTTATGGGGCAAAGTAGAAAAAGGTTTTACATTTTTTATAAGAGCAGCCAAGTTATATTCGCATGTTGATAACGTAGATGATTTATGAGTTTATTAAAGAAACGGCGTTAAGTCCAGCCATTGTGCATCATAGCTTTTTATTGAAAAAATACTTAAATCATCGCTGCAAAATTATTTATATGCGTAGGTAAATCCTTATTGTGATTAGTATACTATTGTCCTTAATTAATAATAGCCATGCTTTCTCTGGAATTTGTAATCATATTTATAGATCTGTATAAATAGCTATAACCACTGGGGTTACCCGATATCGTCATTTCTAGGAAACATTTTAGTCTATCTTTTTGTCCCACAAAAAGGTATCTTTTGCTGCGATAAAAACTGAACATTTACCTAATTGTTGCAGAGAGCTGGGGTCAGACGGACGGCCACCGGTTCACGTACCCCGCGTCTCCCCTCCTGACCCAAGGAGGAGACGTGGCCTCAGGCACCATGTGCCCCCAGGAGCCAGGGGAAGGGGACGAGTGCGTGCATGTCAAGAATGTACCCCTGCATTCTACCGTGGAGATGATCATGTTCGATCAAGGTGAGAAAAAAATGTCTTTAGTAGAATAGGAAGGTTTGAGATAAGCCTTGTCAAACTGCATGAGATGAGACGCGAGTTTAGATAGGATTAGTTGCTTATACTTTATGTATGACTTCACAATAATAGTGTCAGTCATTCATTCGCTTCCGTTTTACAGTTAGTAATATCATATCCACCTGCTTTTTGAAGTCAGTAGTGATAAAATTAAATGTGTCATGTGAAATTAAAAAAGATCTCAATATAGGCCTATTCATTCGATTTTAGAGCACTTTGAATCTTTAGTTTTATCGTTTTCAGCGAATTCCAACTCTATGATTATAAATAATGATGCGATGTGTGTGCGACATTCGTACCTTAGAACCTTCCTTTATCACTTAAACCTTTATCAATGATGCCTCACTTAACAAGTTAAGTGTTGATGTGTTATAAAAAGAATATAGGTACTTATGCATGTATACTTACACCTTTTTATTCTCTCGTGAATAAATGTCCTCAAAGTTTAAGCGAATTGGAACTCGAGCTGGGCTCAGTTGCCTTGACTACGGAACCAGTGAATAGGGCACGAAGGGTTCGAGTTACAAGGGCGTTTCAACTTAGTTTCATGAACAATCACAATGAATATCTTTATCCGAGCCATAAATGCTTTTGATATAGGTTCTAACATAACAAACGAAACTTAGATGTTCTCAATTTGCGTTTTCTTGGAAATAAACTGTATTGGTTTTAAACATGGGTATTCCCTTTTATTTTACAACGGAGAAACTGAATTTTACTTGATGGAAAGTGAACCAGGTTTCCCGGAATCCTCAACCTTAGCGGAACTGGCTTTTATTCTCAACACAACAATGCTGTTAACATTGATGTTATGGCCAATTTGTCCTTTATACCTGTTAAATGACATCTAAGCTCAAAAGTTGTGGTTTGCACAATACCAAGGTCTGGCATCTAAATGTAAACATCTTTTTAATAAAATGTACCTGCTCATATCGAATCTGTGTTACGTAATCTTTGAAACGCAGTAAACATTAACATAAACGTAACTCAAGGCGTTAAAGGCGCATCGGATCATATCAAAGGTGATTCGTTTGATTTATGCGGCTATCTTGCATGTGGTAGCAAATCTGCGATACAGAATAAAGCTGGTTTCCATTGCTTACGTCATGCCGTGTCGTTAAAAAGTCGGTTAGTAAACAATCATACTGAAAATGCGACCAAAAGACGGTTAGAGCGGGGTGATCTACTCATCTATGACTGTCATCGTTGGTTTTTTAAGGATTTCTGCCACTTCTTATTCTGTGAGTGTGCTGCATTTTTAATGACGATAGAATATTTACAACAATTATTTTCTAGTCACTCTTACAATTTTATATTATTGAACAAATACAGACGTCACAGTGGGAACGGGCACTAAGCTTAGCCGGTGAGCACGGGCCTATCCGATCCCGTCTGCTGTATTTCGATATTACGCGCTCATTCTCACATTACTTCATATTTAGCCGGAACGCGTAAATCCAATAGACAATTTCCTGTTCCCGAAATTGCAGACGTGATTTTCAAATCCCTAATGTTCATTGTACGTTTTCGTATAACTAAATACAATTATACCTATTTAAGTGTAGATGAAATTACATAGTTTCAGTTAAATTACTTTCATATAATTCAGCTATAATAATGTTGATAGAAGAAAGGTTTTGATCAGTACATTTTTTTTATAAAACTTTTGCTTACAGACTAATGGTAGCAAAACAGAAAATCAGTACTAAAATATTTTCAGTGCATAATACACTTTCATAATAATCTAAAACCGTGTGACTTAACGCCTTATTTCCCCGAAAGATTATTAATTTAATAATTAAAAATATAGTGGAAAGTGGATCAAAACCTACTTACTACTTTTACTTATCTACTTATTAGACTTTATTATGTACTACCTATGTTTTTACATAAAAAGAAAAAAAATCCTAAACTTTTGCACTAAAGTGGATTTGTTTTTACTCTACATATAGCTACGAGGGTACCTCATCAATAACGCAAGAATCCATCTCCTTAAAGCCATAAAGAATAAGTTTTACGACCGCGTCAAACTTGGCGTTTGGTCTTAACGCATGTTGTTGCTCAATAAAACATTTTGTTGACATCTGTAGCTCATGAATAATAAACGCCGGTTGGAATCAGCGCGGCGCCACTCGGGTTGCTCTTGAATCATGTATGTTTGCGGATGCATCTCTGCTTCCGACCGGCGAATTGTTGCTCTGTGGCTTTCAGCTTTTTAAAATGTTCCAATGTCATATTTGTTTATTTTTAGAACTCCCCGCTTACATTTTTGATGGTTCAAAAATATTGTTTGAGGGCCACTGTTCGTAATAAATGGTTACTGATGCCTCTGTCAGCCAGTTAGCTCTATTAACCTCTCTGTAAACCAGTGTTTGATTTGACATGGTCATTAAAGTCTTAAAATTATGTTATTTATTGATGCAGGTAATTATTATATTAAAAGAAAATTATTAATTTCAGAAAAACATTGAAATAATATTCTACTCTTATATTAAAAATAAGTTACAACACCAATGAAAATCTGCCAAAGTCAAAGATAAGTTTAACGAACTGTAAAAGTAAAGTTTGGACATCTTATCTGAACGGCACACACGGCAACTTTTTCTTTATACTTTAGGTTTGCACTGACTCTAGATTTTAGCTGATAAATATTTCATAGATAAAGTTACGGATTCAAAAAGTATTTTACTGGAAAATTTTCAGCAAATGAATTTGAGTAAAAACTTATAAATCTTTGAACTATTACGAATGAAGGTAATCCTACTAATATTATAAATGCGAAAGTTTGGATGTCTGGATGTTTGTTACTCTTTCACGCAAAAACTACGGAACGGATTTTGATGAAACTTTACAGTAATATTGCTTATAATCCAGAATAACATATAGGCTATAATTTATGACGATCTGTGACAAACGAAATTTAACGCGGGTGAAGCCGCGGGCAAAAGCTAGTACTTTATAAAGTAAGGAAATTATGAGAGTTTCTTTTAAACAAATACATGCTGTAGGATGTCTGCAAAATATAGAATTACAAGTACTAGAACAGTGAAATCACTGCTCCATTTGATATTTGTAAGCATAATCAGATACCAATCAGATATCTCTCTGACATACATTCATACTTACGCAATTATTATAATGGCTAGAAAGGTATTGGCACCGGTGATAGCGAAATATCTTTTCAATAATGTAGCTTCGGCTCGAGGCTACGTCTGCGAGGATTTTGGTCTGTGATAGAAAGTTTTGATCGTGTATCATAGGTGCCATGATTGAAAACACTTTTTGTACATACTCGTATAAAGCTAGATTAGAAATAAAAAACGTTACGTCCAGGTCTTTAAACAGTAGAATTTTTTATAAAAAGTTGAATTTTAATGATCAATCATGCATCAAATCTAGTAGTTTTCTTCAGAAAATAGTTTCAGAAATATTTACTTCTTGACACCTAGGTACTAAAATTGCAGTTTATTTATTTAACTACGAGACAGAATGGTATATACTCGATTGTTTATCATGTATGAAAGCCATTTATTGTTCCATTCACACCTCGCTTTGGAAGGCAAACAGAACTCAAAATGTTGTTGACTGACCCACACCTGCGGCGATTACAGGGTTCACACGCGCCAGGGGAGTTAATCACGCCAAAGCATTACACCAGCCTACGTAATGTACGTAATTGCATTTAACGTAACTTATAGGCAACCCTTGTACTCGTAGTTTACAAATTACGCAGTTAATTAAGGGTGGATTAGACTAAAAAAGAGTAAATATTAATCTCAGAATAAATCGTCAGTTTTGACATATTTCCCATACTGAAACTGTCAATGTGCCAGTTATACCAGGAGTTATTCTCGGATAAAAGTTTGGTCGAATCGGGCCTAAGGAGAATAGGGAAAGCTTTTTCGTAGTCAGTAAAAAGTCAATTGATGCATATATATCTAAGGTTATTTTTATATCAATATTGTCTCGTAAGTACGAGATGCTAGGAAACTGTACTCCTAAACTAGAATTGTTTATATTTTGAACGTCAGTTATACCTCCATCCACACCTCGCTTTGGAAGACAAACAGAACTCAAAATGCTGTTGACTGCCCCACACCTGCGGCGATTACAGGGTTCACACGCCAGGGGAATTAATCACGCCAAAGCATTACACAGTTCAGCCTTATGAACTCTCAGACTACGTAATGTACGTAATTTCATTTACAGGCATTCAAGTGTAGGTAACCCTTGTAGTTTACAAATTATGCGCTAAGGAGATTAGTTTTTTCGTACCTGGTAATAAAAGTCCAATACATTGATTGCTATAATAATATAGTACATTTAGTTCACTCTTAAAGTGCATAGTGCCGAATTTTCATATTAGATGAGGTAGGGCCCATGCTTTACATAGAAAATTGAGTTGCTCTATTATCTATACATGAAATATATTTTCAAAATAACTATCAGGGGGTGATTAGTGATCGATACTGATGCCAAAAATGCAATTAGTATAATTTTTGTCTGTCGGTCTGTATGTTCCTTATAGAAACAAAAACTACTCGAGGGATTTTAACGAAACTTGGCACAATTATTCTTCATACTCCTGGGCAGGTTATAGTATACTTAGGAGCACAGTAGTGAAAGGAAATTTTGGGAAAACGGGAGAAGTTACTCCATTTTTTAAGCTTCCGTCGCGTGTGCAGCCTTAATGGTTAAAGTTACATAGAAATCATGTATGACGGTAATATATTTAACATAAAATTGTCTAAAAAATATCCCGCAACAGCATAATATGTCTATCTAAATATACATATAAAAGGAGAAACTGACTGACTGACTGACATATCAACGCACAGCCTAAACGGATAAACGTAGGCACTTGAAATTTGGAAGGGACGTCATAACCCCGATTACAATTTCTGAATAGAACTGTGTAGTAATTCCAATTACTGTAATTGGGTAAACATCTGCAGCAGAATGTTAAGACGCTAACCAATTCTGACCCTCATTCCGCACTCGTCTTGAAAGTTTTCAATAGTACTGTTGAGATCCCAAACTGCCCGAAGGCTTCCATCCAAGAGTTTACTGCCCAAACTACTTGTAAGTGTTTGTTGCAGTCGGATTCTGTTGGGTCCAAAGTAATTTCTTAGCTCTCTCAGCTTTATTGCTTTGAAATCTAATTGATTTTGTCCCGCGTCTCTTAACCGCTTAATAAATTATAAAGTTTTGACGCAATCTACACAAATACTCAACTAAGTTCATCGACGTTGTTTTTGCTTAAAATAAAGTCATTGTGTTTTAAATGGCTGTGTCCACAACGTGTGTTTAAGCGGTGTTTGCTAGCGATTAGTTGCACAACCTTTGTTTAGAAAGGTAAATATTGACACAGGGAACACCTCCGGCCAGGGGACGCGAAACAAGTGTCGTTCAGCTTTCGAACGGCGTGTTTAAACGTAGGTATGTGAGAAACTTAAGTGCCGCCATAAAATTGACAAATACGCACGTTAATATTGATGCTTATGTCTCATTTTCGCACCTTTTATGAACGCTTCGGGAAGTAAAAGAGTAATTTCTGCAAACTGTTAAGTCTCTAACTAAGAGCTCATTTAGTATCGTCTTCGTTTCAGTCAAATGACGACCACTGCTGGACAAAGGATTTCCTCTACTAGTTTAATGTTACTTCATATTAAACATAGGATACATTTTGATAATATTTCTTATACAATTTAGAGCTTCATCGATCCTGTATCAAGTCGCAAATTTTCAAAGGCATCATCAATGTTCAAAATAACTCGGAGACAAAATTCATAGCCTTTGCTCTTTAAATTATACTTGTTACGAAACAAAATGTATTAATAACATCAGAGACGGACGACTCTACATTTGTAAACTGTCTTCATGAACTTTCTCTTATAAATAGCATTTCAAATTGTATTTGAAACAGGTTTTGTATCTTTTAACGTTTTATCTTATCTAATATTTCTACGAAATACAAATTTAACTCAGAACGGTTAATTTGGAATGTTATGTCTATAATAAACTTTCATTAACATAGGTTGTGAACTATTCGAATACAAATAAGTAATTACTTCATACATATTCATGACTTTCATTACTGCGTATCAGTTTTGTATTTCGTAATTTATTGTACGGTAGGTTAGGCATTGTGACACATTGGTTTTGAAGTTCGATATATTCGGTTATCACAATATAGTAGGTAATTCTATAAGAAATTAAGGTCCTAATTTATAATTAATTTTACTTATTTAGAGTTTGCTTTGACTGACTTCAGACAGACAAACAATTGATATAATACGCGTAATATTGTGTAGAATAGAAATATAGTAAAGTTATTTAGGTGTAAAGTTATGAAATTCGAGAAATTTAGTTTCGTAGTGGCCAGATGCCGTGGCATAAATAATGGCGTCGTATCGTTTGTTATTCAAGGCAATTAAGTCCCCCGTTTAATTAACCAACAACCGACCGACCTCTGACTTACCTACGCCAAACACTCGAACCTGGACTCTATTGTTAAAAGAATAAGAAGAAATCATCATTTTTTGCTGTAATAAACATACACATTACACTCATGCGCACGGTAACATCATAATTTATTAATCAAGATATTTACGACAACGACTGTTTGGCGCCGAGCCTAGTAGATGAGAGGTCACTCCATTTGCCAGCTACTAATGAGAAATCTGTAATTACTTTATTGTACCTACTCGTACACATTATCATCATCATCATCTTAGCCATAGGACGTCCACTGCTGAACATAGGCCTTCCCCAATGCTTTCCATGTTGCCCGGTTGGTAGCGGCCTGCGTCCAGCGCCTTACCTTTATGATATCGTCGGTCTACTTTTTGCGTGGACATCCTACCTACGCTGCGTTTTCCGGTACGCGGCCTCCACTCCAGAACCTTGCTGCCACATCGGGTTTATCGGCCGTCAGTTCTGCGTACTATGTGCCCTGCCCACTCGTAAACAAGAAATAAGTATTAAAAGACCTTTTCTTAAAAGTGAAAGTAAATATCTATGCAAGCTAAGACTGTAATCTGCCGCTATTGTCATAGATAATTTGACGTGTAAGATTTATGTTTGTTTTGAATGATTGGTGCTGACCTTACGAATTAATTGACGGTTCGTTTGTGAAATGCTATTTCTTAATTCCTCGTTTGAGTGCACGTGCTTTTCAGGTCGATGGCCTGTGTGTAAGCGTGTGTACTCCACCGTTGATAGATTATGCAATCTATGTTGCAAGGATTGGATTCATTTCTTGTTCCTGAATTGCGAGACATGCAATACTTTTAACCGCAACAGCGATGGAAATTACTCGGTTACTATACACACTAAAACATACATTATCTACTATGGTACTGGTAGTATTTTTCCATTTTATATTCACGAGAGATCGTGATATATTAAAAATTATTGTGCGTTTCAAGAATTTTCATATTACATTTTTATCTGATAAAGACAATGACTTTACTCTGCATAGCGAATAAAATTTGATATACATTTTAACTTTTGTTCCCTTCGTCCTGAATGATTAAATTACAGTTATATTTTTCAGTTAGGTTTGTGACTAGCATTACAACGTGACGTTTTTTCCCGAAACTCGGAAAGTCTATTTTGTAATTTTCCTTTTAGCTACGGTGCACACAATACACATAATTACGCACACGGCGTACCTACTACGTTATTACATATGACATACGGTGTAGAATAGGCCTTATAATTGGGCCTTACGTCGTCTGAGACATCTTCCCTCTTGTGGGTACTCAGGCTTTCCGTAGTGTGCACTCACATAGAGCTTTGCGAGTTGGCAACAAAGATTAAACGTCGTTTGTTGGCAATGTTTACTCGCCTTATTTTCTACTATTCTTAGAAATAACAGCCTCAAAGATACTAGTACACACACAATTCCTAGACTAGATTATTATGAAACGACACTCAAATGTAAGCCTACACTTGAAATCAATATAGGATCAATAGGTACTTGAGTTTCAATCGAGTTTTGAGTTTTCGTTTCATTACAAGGCACAAGACAAGACTTAAAACAAAAATAGTTCGATGACAATTTAATTTGACTTTTCATTTTGTTTCTGAAATTGCTTAAAAAAGTTTGTGTAAAAGCGAGTAAAGCTGTGAAGTGATTCACTTTTAGCAAAAACAACCAAAGCTTGTGTTAATTCCATAACTGTTTGCTTTGTGTAGTGTTACAATAAAGACTTTGTCACATACACGCCATGTTGTGAGTTTTGTAAACTTCTGTATAGTGTAAACGTGACCTTAAACCATAAAATTCCTCTATCACAACAAAAATACTTTCAGAAATACGTAAATGTTGTTACTAACAATAATTTTAGAATAGCTTTACGATAACCGTGAAATACGACCATCCGATAATTGGGTTTGAATATTTTATAGGCTTTTAATAAATAGAAAGTTTAATGGTCCGTGTCTGTACAGTTTGTGAATAACATATTGAGGTCAAATACGCGCGGTTATGTTAGATTTAAACTGTGTTAGTTTTGGTTGGTGTTTTGACCAATTTATTTGCAAGAGCAATCAATTTGGGCCCATATTGTGTGACATATTAACATTCTTTTGAAACTCGTTCTTTTGGTTACAGGTGGCGAATCAGACCACATATTCCACCTCCACGGCTACAGCTTCTACGTGGTCGGCGTCAAAGAGTTCAACAAGAGCCTCACCATGGAAGAAGTGAAACAAATGAACGAGGATGGAATCCTGCTTACTCGGAACCTTGAGGACCCTGTAATAAAGGACACCATAGTAATTCCCAGGTTTGGTGTGGTAGCTCTACGTTTCAAGGCAGATAACCCTGGCTACTGGATGATGAGGGACGAACGATCCACCCACTGGACGAGAGGGTTAGACTTTATACTCAAAGTAGGTGAAGAAAGAGACTTTGTTCAGGCTCCTTCAGACTTCCCCAAATGCGGGTCTTACGTAGGACCCGAATACTTCTTAATATAGTATCGCAAAGTTACCAACAAGCCTCCGTAGGTAATCATTTTTTATTGATTAATTATAACTGAGATACGATTAAGTGTGGTTCATGAGGCTGATAAATTAATGAGCTAGCAACGGTATTTAGCTGAGTAGTTATCAATGTATTACTCAATTAGTACCTATTTTTTTTTTTTTTTTAAATCTTTGGACAATTTCACACAGCGCCAGCTAGCCCCAAAGTAAGCAACTTAATGCTTGTGTTATGGGTGCTAGCTTAACGGATATACTACTTATATACTTTTTTTTTTAAATACATAAATATTATACATAGTCACACCCAGACCCGTCACAGAAATTAAAATTCATCATTTCAATTTCTGCCCGGCCGGGAATCGAACCCGGGACCTCTCGGCATAGTAGTCCGTTCTGAACCACTACACCAAAGGGCCGACTACCTATTGTGATATTAATAAAGCGTAGGAGTTTTTATTAACATGTAATGTATAGTCAGCGTCAAATAGGTAGTTCGTGAAATCGTGACACCCAAAGTAGTTTGTGTGCAAAGTATGTTTGTGTAGTGTGTTGTCAACTTATTGGACACTCTGGGTGTCACGAATTAAGTATTTGACGCTGACTGTACCTAGGTAGGGAAACATAACAACCCATTTGATAGTGGTAATGTTATAGTAGAACCTAGGTAAATATCGGGTTGCTCTTGCTTCGCGGAGGTGAAACCTACGGTTGAACCTGATTAATATAATATTGCTTGTTAAATTATTATTATTAGACATATCTAATTTATAATGTTACCTGTAAAGTGTTGCTAGTTTTAGTATGTAAGCGAAAATTAATGTAAATAAAATGGTTTGTATAACTGAGGTTTTTTTAATGATTGTTGAAAGAGCCTTTACCTTTCATCAGAAATATCAAACTAGGTAAAGATTTTTGTAAGAGGTATAAATATAGTTGTTATAATACTTTAAATTACTTTAATAAACGACTTTATTCTTCTCTTGTTAAAGTTCAATACAAACAACCAGACCCATAGGGTGAACTAAATCGAAAAATACGCTATTTGCATCCAGCGCACTCGTTAGTGGAACGTGTTTTGTTTCACTATTCAACACACTATTAAGTTACCAGACTGACGAAACATTTTTTCAAAAGTTTTTTTCCGCAATTTCGCTTCTCTGGCAAATACTGACCACTCACTCGTTTCGGTCCGATAAAAGTAAAAAACCGTAGACCGTAGACTAATGTCCAAAATGTGAAAGCGTCCGACCCACTGTGTCTATGACTATGAAAGAACCGTAAGAAATTCCATTAAGGTCTATTTTGCAATGCACGTGGATTTTCGGTAGTCAACGTGCTTCGGTTGTCTACGGTGACGCGGACTGTTATAGAATAACAATAAAAAACTTTTTTCATTTCCCATAGTAGCAGACGACGTATGGTTAAGGTATTTTTATACTTATAATGAAGTGAAAAGTTTTATTTTTGGCATGCCTAAACAATGCTCGAAGAACCTAACCATGCCTAAACAAAAGTGTCTTGAGACACTGCGGTATTTCGGACGTGAGTATATTGCGTAGCTTCCCGAACGCTGCCCAGCCGAGTTGGATTCGACGATTGACCATTGATTGACTGGACGATTGTCCAGTTAGGTAGGGCCTCGAAGTTGGCCCTACCTAACTGGACTGTTTGTCCCAGGTATACATAATTGTCAACAACTTCGAGTGCAGAGTCTCCAACCTTCAAAGGAGTGGGTGCGACACGGACATTAGACATGATTTTTGTCTTGTCCATGTTCATTTTGAGACCCACTTGTTGAGAGGCTCTACTGAGGCCATCGAGCATTGTGCCTAGATCTTCCAAGGTTTCAGCCATGACTACGATATCGTCCGCGAATCGAAGGTGGGTGATGTACTCACCGTTGATATTTATGCCAAATCCGCTCCAGTCCAAGAGCTTGAAGACATCTTCCAGGGCGGTGGTAAACAGTCTCAAGACAAAAGTCTTCGAGCAGTGTGTGCTGCCAGTGTTGATTTATGGATCCGAAACGTGGTCGCTTACTATGGGCCTCATAAGAAGGCTCAAGGTCACCCAAAGGGCGATGGAGCGGGACATGCTTGGAGTTTCCCTGCGTGATCGAATCAGAAATGAGGAGATCCGCAGGAGAACCAAAGTGACCGATATAGCTCGCAGAATTGCTAAAAAAAACCAAGTGGCAGTGGGCGGGGCACATAGCTCGTAGAGACGATGGCCGTTGGGGCAGAAAAGTTCTCGAGTGGCGACCACGGGCTGGAAGACGTAGCGTGGGCAGGCCTCCTACTAGGTGGACCGACGATCTGGTAAAGGTCGCGGGAAGAGCCTGGATGCGGGAAGAGCCTGGATGCGGGCAGCGCAGGACCGTGCATTGTGGAAAATCTTGGAGGAGGCCTTTGTCCAGCAGTGGACGTCATTTGGCTGAAACGAACGAAACAATGTTATGTTATATCCGTCATTTTTTTAAACAATATGTTCATCGCTCTATTTTTTCTGTGAATAACACTGTAGTTTGAGAGTAGGTAAACTCATCACACATTCAAACTACTGTGGGACTATCATTCATCCATTGTCCTACATAAATTATTAATAATACACTGTTATATCAATAATGGTCAATCAATATTGAATCCCAGATGGTGTGAAGACGTCATTATGGCTGCTTGTAATTAATGTCTGCGCTAATTGGATCTCTGACGGACACACCTGATTACGAATTAATCAGATGCTACGGACGGCCATCGGATACTACAGCCGAGCATGTGACGTCACCGCATCATCCCTGAATACCTGAATAGGGAAAATTTTAGAAAACAATACACTACAATACTGACTGCCGACGACGCAGAAGTGTAAAGGTGAAATCCTTTTTCAGATGGGATTTTCTTACAGTAAAGCCACTTTGTGTATTTCTAAATAAGTTCATCAAAATTGCAGACTCGAATCAGCCTGATGGCACGTTAAGCCGTCCCGTTGGCCTGATTGAGCCATGTCATAAAGTCTGGTACCCTTGTGATCTCAGTAATTTTAATACAATTTACAGAAGAAGAAAAATACATAGTTACCTAGTATACACAAACTTGACCTTCATTGATTGGGTTTTTATGGCGGTCAAGCTGTAGATCATGGCTACACAGGAGTTGCAGCGGTGGGAACGAGAGGTAGGAATAGTCCTGTACCTAGTGTAGGTACATACCAAAACTATGCGGCTTACATAAAATATAGAAGATGCTTCAATTTATTACGTTTAGTTATAAGTATAGCTAGACAATGACACACCATAGTTATTCTGTTATTTTAAAGCAATAAAATTGTGAAACTCTAGCTTTACCATTAACTAAAGTTCTAGTTTTACTGTGACCTGTGGAATTGACGTGAGCTGACGTCATCTTCAACATAAACTACAAAGCCTTGTTGTGTTGTGTATTATAGCCTGACCAGGAACATAAAAACCCTGGCATAGTGGCGCGTCAATTGCATTTGATAGTGCAACACTGAGTACAGTCATACCTGTGTTAAATTAATAGGCTAACTTTATGTATCAGGATTCAGGATTACGGGCTAATTTGATATTTTCATAAATTAACGAAAAAATATTATTATAGGTAACCTGATTTAAATAAATTAAATGAAACCATCAATCGAGCTAGTAGAATTTATTTTATTATTCATCAATAATCAAATTCAGAACTTGAATATTCAACTGCAATGTCTGCTCATGAACGCTTCAAACTCGGTACTTCTTTCCCAATCCCATAAAATTCAACACTTAGAAAGTGACAAAAAATTTTAAAATAGGTAGTTGAAACAAACCACAGCTAATTTTCATAGTGGACTGTACTATACGATAAACATGTCAGTCAATTTGACAACCTTTGTCGGAAACATTATTCAATGAAAATATTGTCCAAACCCTTAGTATTTCTCTTCGACAAATACTTTAACACATTGTGAACCACTTTTCTTTCACGACTATAAAAATACTTTAGCAATTTAATTCATAAAACCAATTGCGCACATTTAAAATAAACTTTGTTTACACTTTGACAGCAATAGACTGACATGCAAGGTGACATGTCAATGAAGTTTTCAGTTACTGTTGCCATTAAAAGAAATTAGTACCATTAGTTTTCCGCAACATGGCGAGGGTTTTTATGTTCCTGGTCAGGCTATACATTTGTTCGGCAGGTAGAATCACGTATATAGGGTGGTCGTTAAGCATGCGAGGTACGGAAGCACCGTCCTACGTGCTGGAATAGGGAGGCTAAAAATAGCAAACTACCCAACTACCCATTAACAGAGCGATTCTCAAACTTTTTTAATCCTATATTGTTATCACAATACAATTGAAGACTGATTAAAATGGCTTCAAACTAAATATTGGCGTAGGGAATGGAATCACACCAAAAGAGATTGGTCTGGTTAAACTTTGATTGATTAAATAAATGTTTATCAAAATACAAATGGTCGTTAAACTTAAACTAAGATATTATTAATTTCAATGTCAGTTAGTATAGGTACTTGTTTCAAGCAAATTATTAAGAAAAATGAAGTCGTTTTCTTTGTAGAGGTGCTCAAAACCTCCAATTGTCTATCGTAAATATTTAAAATAGCAAAATAGGTATAACACAAAATAGCCTGAAGGCTAATGTTAGTTCTCTTGTTCAATGTTTTGAAAGCAATGAAAGTATAAGATATGTTATTTAGAATTTCAGTGATGTTTTTAACATTTATCTTAAACTAGCTTTCCGCCCGCGGCTTTGCCCGCACACTTTTTTTTTGTCTGTCACAGAAAAACTTTATCGCGCGCGTCCCTGTTTCAAAAACTGGGATAAACACTACCCTATGTTCTTTCCCGGGACTCAAACTATCTCTATGCCAAATTTCATCAAAATCGGTTGCGAGGTTTAAGCGGGAAAGCGTAACAGACAGACAGACAGACAGACAGACAGACAGAGTTACTTTCGCATTTATAATATTAAGTTGGGATTGGGATAGTTGGGATTAGGTGGAATAAGTTCTAGTATGCCTGGACGCAGGCCACTACCAATCGATCAACATGGAAAGCATTGGAGGAGGCCTATGTTCAGCTGTGGACGTCCTGTGGCTGAGATGATGATGATGATGAAGTTC